ATCATCTCTCTCAGGAAGAACTTTTTTAAAAGTCGGATAAGTAACTTTCATTATTATAAGGTAAAAGACCAGATATAAATGATATTTATATTAAATATAGAAATTGTCTATTGCCTTCTGTGGAAGAAATGTCTGCACTGTTTCAGCCTAATTGTTTGCTTCAGGTTTACTTAGCTGTTTATTGCTAGTCGTGGTTGCGGCCTGTTTTGTTTCACTTATGGTTGGGTTCCTGAAGAAGCGACAATTTTTTTTAATTTGCATGGACAGTCGCTCTTCCTCTGCTATAGCTTAGAGGTGCTTGTTGCATTTCCTCTTTTCTCATTTTTGATGTTGTGCTTTTGATTTTCTGGGTTTAACCACCTCTTTTATGTGTAGAAATATATATTTTAGAACATTGATTACCTGCGCATAATCCCTACCATGTTATATAGGGAGGATTTGTTGTTAGGGATATACTGTGCATTGAATGGCTTTATGGGTTAGGGTTTGCTATGCAAAAGCCCAGACTAGGTGTCAGGGTTTCCTACCCTTCCTCCTCTAGAAGGCTGCAGCATGCATGATGTGTGGTATGTCTGACAATGTTTGTTCCTATATGGCGCCCTCTTATGACCAAACCTGTAAACATCATCTTTCTGCAACCCCTGACAAACTCCTGGAAAATTCTTATCTCAGAGTGATGATGCAACACCACTATTTAACCATCAGCTGGTCCATTTAGTCTCTGCCCTAGCGTGTGTTCTGATCTACCAAGTGCTCTGCAGTTGTTCCTGTTCTCTGTGTATGACCCTGGCTTTCGCTAACTGATCTCCTGGTTCCTGACTCTGACTTTGTTTCCGTTCATTCTGCTCTCAGTGTTCCCTGACCTGGTCGGACTGACTACCTGCTTTGGCATCTGAGCTTTGGCTTGGCTTCGACAACGTCTTGGACTTCCTCCATGGTTTTGTGCCATTTTTGTTTATTGTTATTTTCAATAAACTCCTTTTATTTTTAACCTGTACTTTGTTTCTGTCTGGCTTCTTGGATCCCTAACAGTATGCAAGGGCCATGAACCCTGACACTAGGTTTGCTTTGCACATAATAAAGGTAATATATATAAATACCTCCCATCTGGAACCAAATCCATCTGTCCCTCTTCGGTCTGATGTATAGATATCTATGAAATGTACCAGGTAACAACCAAAAGTGTTATTCTGCACTAAAACTTGATTATCTTGTTTGCAATTTCGAAAAGCCATGATAAAGGCAAAGTAATGGTAAAAAATAAAAATGTTTGGGTTTAGCCAATCTTTTTTGACATATAAATTGTTAATGTTCTGCAGCTGTGTGTTCATTGCCTAACTACAGGTGGCCATACACTGTACAACCATCGCAAGACCTTAGTCTTGCGATGGTTGTAAAGGGATTAAAAAAAGTACGATCTGCCTATCTTGGACAGGCATGCGCGTGCGCACACCGGCCCGTTCGGCATTTGTCTTCCGAGCACCGTTCTAACCAGCCGAGAATCGTACGATTCCCGGCTGGTTTTCGAACATGCTGGTTCGACAGAAGACGTGCGACCGTACAGTAGAAACGGTTGCACGTCTCCGTTCACACTGCTCGATTATCTACGAAAAACCGATCGCATACGATTATCGTACGATAATCGTGCAGTGTATGGGCACCTTACTACTACTACTACTAACTATTTATCATACTTGTTGTTGGTAGAGTGACCTGCTTTGTTAGGGCAAATGAGGAGCTCGATTGTGTTGAGGCTTGGTAGTGCTAAGATCTCAGAGTGTATATATTTCTGACCTTCATTATGTGAGGTCATACAGGATAGTGAGTGCCTGTCTTGATATCAGAAGGATGAAAATATGTGCTAATTACGTATGTTGAGATTCTTACACATGTCCTTTACTGACTGGTTCACTTTAAGATATTCATAATGGCCCTTACACAGCGCCATGATTTATATTAATTTAACCTACACACTAGAAGCTCCTCTCATCATCTGTCCTTACTTATTTGAAAATGCTGCACATCTATATTATGTCAATCTTGGCAGCACGTAATGCTCTGTGCTGGTTTCTATAGCCACGAATAGCTCAGAACTACATTATTGGAACAAGTAGCATGAATTAAAGTTGATATGCAGCCAACCCAATAAAGTTATTATTATATTTAACTTGCAAATGTGTGCCAATTCATCACTTGGATCATTTTCTGATTTGGTACAGAGCATTGGTTGTTATGAGTTTCTGCAAGTGAAAGGTTTCATATTGAATATATACTGTATGTATATTTTTGTATATACGTGTTATGGAATAAAAGTTGTTATTATTATTATAGCAGAAGTGGACAGAGAAAGGAGCAGGGGGTCACAGATTTTTTACGTGTGATATAAACAATATAAACAATATCAGTATAAAATCCACTGTACATACACAAGATGAGGACTGTGCTCTGAACTAGGAGTTGAACGGTTAATGCAAAAATGCTGGGTATTGGTCACTGAGGAGTTAGGACACGTGCACTGAGGACTGGCCACTAAGGGGTAAACAGACATGTGCTGGAAACTGCCTGCTGAAGGGGTTGATGGGAATTATAGCCAGGAGATCGTGCTCTTTGAATATTAGAGACATATAAGAAGAAAGGAGCTGGCTCAGCCCAATCGGCTCCACTAATGACAAAAAGTTCTCTTTTGGGTTTGACTCACCCTTCAAAGAGAACCTCATACCACCCAATGGAAATTCCCTAACAGCTCCTCTGTAAGATTTCTCTCTGTAGCATGAATGGAAAAAAGAAAGAAATTTACAAGGACATGGAATCCAACCTTGGCTTCTTTTCTGCATAAGTACCTCTCCATACCGCCATCTTAAGTCAGCTGTCTATTCCTTTTACTTACAGTTGGCCCCCTGATGACCTGACAGCAGATCTTGTGCATGTGCAGATAACTGAACTGCATGCCTGCATAGATAGCGTATATAAGTCTTCTATGCAGAGGCAAAATATCGCAATGTTTTGAGTGTTCTGAATACACAGTCTTCTGGGAAGGGTGATGTGCATATCCCGAAGTCTGCAGAATACTTACTGTACATCATCTGTGCCTAGGCAAAATCTATGCAGGTGTGTACAGAGGGGGAAGCAGACAAGAGGAGGTTTAGTTTCTGCTCCACTTTAAATTTAGAAAGGGAAATTATTAAAGGGATGAAGAATGCTCACCTAAAAATATTAAAGTTTAGCACATTGAGGGTAGGTTGCAGAATTGTAGATACATTTAATAGGGACTCATAACAAAACCATGAAGGGATCCTCCTGTCTCCTGTAATTGTATAGGGGGTTTTAAACTATATATATATATATATATATACACACATACACACACACACTGTATATTAAAGCATATCTCCAGGAAAAAAAACTACCTTTGTAGTTTGTCTAGCCCTGCACTGCAAGGGTAACTGCTTAATTTTGTCTAGGGGTTTTCTATAAAGGACTTTTACTTACCTGATACTTGATTCTGCAGGCTTCAAAACCAGCACACACGGCCTCTTCCACCCTGTGCTCTGGCAGATGGAAGCCCACTGCCAGACATAAACAAGCAGTTACCCCTTGCAGTGCATGGGTAGCCCCACTGCAAGGGTAGTATACATTTATTATTTTTTGCATAGAAGCCAATAGAGCATTGCAACCAGTTATAACTGCATAGCAGACAGACAAGTATGATCAGGGCGCAATGCTCTGATTCCTGCAGACTGTTCCTCCCATCCATGTTTGTACGGACATGCAGTAACATAGACAGGAGGAAGTGTCAATGGACTACAAGTGTGCTGAGGTCAACGCTCTTGTATCCCATTGTGTACTGCAAGTATCTCTGGTATGGTGGCAATTGGGGCTTGAAGTTTCACTGATCCTGACAAAGGAAATGTCAATGGATAGGGCTGTTGTGCCTTGCACACCTGTGCCAAATACAAGGGTACAGCCACCAGCAGGGAGAAGAACCCTGGGATTCAGGCAGAAAGGGGGTTGCAATCACACCTGACATGAAACATGGTTAGAAAGGTGAACTTAGCTTGTAATCACTGTATGGCCAGACAGCTCTGGGACCCCCATGTGCTTCTGGGTCTGATTGTAGTTCCATGATCTCATATGGTTATATTTATGTCCTTGTAAGTGAGACAAAAGTCACCATATTAACTCCCCCTGCTTATGATAAAGTGTGCAAAGATAGCAGCCTAGTGAACATTCTCTACTCTTTTAGTAATCACCCCCATAGTGTCTATGAAGACAAACATCTCCCTACGGAAATCTCCAGCTACACTCAATGCAGAAACAGATGATGAATTCTGTATAAGAATGGGGTTAATTCTCTTCCCTTTCTCAGCTTCTCTGATACACAAGAAAAATGGTCATGAATGATTTCAGAGGAATGATTGCTCTAAATATGAGATCGTTCAATCAGCTTGCCGTGCACCCCTAAAAGCGGCCGTATATTGTGTGATTTGGGGATCGGTCGGCGCTGTCCGCGGTGCTGAAATCAATGACACTATAAGACGCACGTCAGGCACAAGTTCAGCTTTATATGATGGGAAGGTGTCTGCAGGAGTCATTTGTTTCGTGATGGTATCGCTTTGTGTATAGTCTGCTGTCACCTCTCTTCCAGGGAGGGATTAATAGGTGTTTATTAGCTGGGGGACTTCTATCTATCTGCTGTGACTACGTCAGGAAAGGACGAGCTGAAGCAGATCTGCTCTCCAAGGAAGCCACTCCTTTCCATTCACTCCATCGAGCTGGGTTCTCCTGTCATCCTAACACAAGGACTATATAGTACCGGGACACACAGCATCCATGCACACACTACAGACTCACCCAATGCCTAGGTACCAAGTACTCTGGAGTGACAAGTCTTGGTCTGCCAGGTGTCTGCTGCACAAAGACCCCCAATGACATGAACATGGGCTAAGGGATAGCGGAGAAGGGAGCTCTATGTCACAACTGCCATCCAACATCTCAGAAAGATGTCCAACGTTGTCTATGGTGCTCTGCACATCCTTCTCAGTGTCCTCATCCCCATTGCCAACATCCTGGTCATTGTCATCCTGTCCAAGCTCCTGAAGAAGAAGCACTGCAAGAGTTACATCTTTATACTCAACCTGGCCGCTGCTGACCTCCTGGTGGGACTCATGTGCATCCTGGAGACTCTGGATGATTTCTTTGATGATGACTTTGATAGGAATTTATTCTTCTGCCTGCTGAGGTTGTGTTTCACAGTCACTCCTTGTATCGGATCCATGCTGACCCTCCTCCTGATCTCTCTGGACAGGTATCTGGCTGTTCGGATGCCCTTGTATTACCTGAAGTTCATGAATAATAAGTGCATTGGAATGTCTCTGGCGGTGCTGTGGTTGGTGTCCTTCTTGGTCGGGCACATGCCTCTTATAACCCCCGCACTGCAGCACAACAACTACACCGGGGTCTGTGGGCTCTTTTATGCAGCCAAAAGCGACTATCTGTACATTTTGTGCTTCATTATTTTCCTGCCAGCCTTATTTACTATTGTCTGCCTTCACACATTGGTGGGGAGAATTGCTTATACCCACCATAAACGAATTCAGAGGACAAGGGCTATCAGTGGACTTCACAACAACCATCCAGCCCACTCATCCCACTTTAAGGCAGCCAGGACCGTTCTCATAGTCATCATCTGCTTCACCTTGTCTTGGGGTCCCTACTACATCACTGGAATTGTCCAAGCCACCTGCACATCTTGCAGACTTGTGGATGTGCTGAAGGATATTCTATTCGTTTTAGGGGAAGCAAACTCCCTCTTGAACCCTCTCATCTATACTTTCTATTGCAGAGACATCAGAAGCTATTTCTACAAACACTTTGTCTGTAGAAGGAGGAAGGTAAAGCCTCAGGTTCTAGCTTTGGTTCAGTTCACCAACATCAGGACAGCAGCCATGCCTGAGGAGTTCACTATGGCTCAGACTTCTGGGGACAGTGTTCATAATGTGTCCTTATTCATTGGCTCTGGTGACTTTAGTAAAGACACATGTGAGTGATGGCATACCATTAAACATTGCCTATTGCAGCTGTCCCTCTTACCTCAAAGCACTTTCTGCACTATGACACACTTCATCCTTACAATGCAAAATAATACTCATCCAGGCTTTGGCATCTTGTGTGGAACAACAAATCTCAGCGCTGCCTTATACCTTGTGGCTCTGGCTTGTCTAACAGCTGGGACTGGCAGCTTGTTTTTCTCTGCAGTGTTGTTTCTGTTTGCCCAGGTGCTGGCAGCTCTCATTCTGGCTTATTTAACAAAGCACTGCAAAGAGCAATGATGATGTGCAAAGTGCAGAAATCCATAGTAACCAGATTTCAGTTTACTGCAGATCGGTGTAAGGCAACTGGTGACTGGTTTCTATGTGTTACCACACGTTTCACATTGCTCTTTGATGTGTTAAACAAGACCATCTGTCTTCAAGTGGGCTGCAGAAAAAGAACTTGCAGAATAGTTGTAATTCAGACTCAATGGTTGTTTCTGAGTTAGACAGACATTGTACAAACTCACTGCCTGAAAACGGTGTTGGTGACTACAGGTTTTCCAATAATCTCAGGATTTTGTTTTATAAATTTACACTTTTAAGGCATATGTAGTCATCTTCAATATTGTCTTGATATTGTTAATGTATAGTGAATGATTTACAAGTTTATGAAAGTGTAAAATAAATGTTTTATTCTTCTCCAAATAACATGAACTGAAAAAAGCCCACAGTATTTCAATGGATGAGTGGCTGGGGTTGTATTTGCTTTCTCTGGAGTTATATTAAAAGATGGACTTGGTGGACATGTCACCCTAATTCACTGTAACTATGGCTGGGGTGGACAAATGAATGTGGAGTTCAGGAGCCAGTCTGTCCAATCCAGGAGCCAGCAGGATCTTTTTAGGACTCAGTTCCAATGACAGCAAGTAGAGAAAACCTCAAACTTTAGGTGCCAGCTGTAATTATTAAAGTGCATTGGTTACATGGCTCCTGGGATTTGTCCAGCCCTGAACTATGGAGAGTGAAAACTAAAACACTGGAATATAGGAAATGTATGCTTTAGTATTATCGTGCTGAAGAGAAGACCAGCAAAATTTGAAGCCCCAGGAGTTGGGATCAGGGTCAGATGCTATCATGGTTGCTGTGGGTCACTGCACATAGTTTATCAGGACTTAATTTTCCTTTATGTCAGAAGCAAAATTAATTCTCAATCACGTTATTTTCTTAGAGAAAAAAATGTAAATATCTGCTTGAAAAAAGGAATTATGCTCACCATGCAATTTTTTTAGGCAGTTTCAAACAGGTTCCAATTCAGGTGTGCTGTATTTACATGGGCTGAGAAGGAACATGCTAACAGAGAGAGATCAAACAGATGACTTCATCAGCCTGTCGCTGCTCTCTCACCATCCAGTCACAGGCTGGGGGCCAGGAGATGACCTAGCCGTGTTGCTTCACTGCAGTAGAGAATAGTCAGGTCAGCAGGCTGCAGTCGTGAATAGCAGGTAAGAGTTCTTTGATATATCTATTGCAGCTATAAATTAAGCTGCTTGGCTGGAGCTCAGCTCTAAGCTATGAAATGTTTTGGTCTATCTTTCCCATATATTTCTATAAGGCTTCAAGGTTACTATTAGGACCCTTTCACACGGGCAGTATCTGTTCTGATCAGCAGGGAGTCTGTACGCAGGTCCCCTGCTCTTTGGAGCAGTATCTACTGGATATCATTCTTCTGTGTCCATTCAGTTTTTTCCTCCTTGCAATTTTGAAGTGGAGTAAAAAAAACTGACATAATGGGACCCATGTTGGGGGTACGGGGAGTCAAATCTAAATGGACTTGCATCTGTTTACGTCCTATTACCTCCAATCAGGTCCGCCAAAATGGGCACTGTTCCATTTCTTTTTTCAGACTTAGGCGGACTTGGAGGTAATTGGATGTAAACATCTCTTGCAAACTCTTAGGAATTCTGTAGAGAGAACTGCCACTAGAAATCCCAGCTCCTCCAGCTCCATCTCACTCAACTTTATGCTGAGCAGTATGGTCATTTGCTTCCATATGGAGTCTCAGTACCACACACAAATAAAAAAGGAAGAAAGCCCTACTCCAGATATGTCAGCCTCTATCTTTATTAATTCTTCCATCTGTTGTAAAGCAGACCACATGAGCTCAGTGCTGGGATATGTCCTGGGGACATGTATCTGTAGAACAGCAACTGACTTCTTGGTGGGTTCTCAGTAATATCATATGGACCAACGGGGTTATGGACAAGGGCCATAGATTAACAAAATATCTTTTTTGCTAACTGTAACTGAATATAGATCCCCATTCATTTTGCCAATTTCTCAAGCCAGCCACATGGTTACTAGATAACCAGTTATAATCCCCCTATGAGGTTACATCGAGACTACATGAGGTTACATGAGCACTATATGTCTGTTGTACTAAAAAAAAGATTTATGATAAGGTCAGTTTTGTATTATCTTGCTACTAATTGTGTTCATGATTTGCATAATTAACTGAAGATTTTCGAAAAAAAAAATGTTTGTCTTATCTCTCTGAGGGTAGCAGACTTTTTTTTATAGTAAGTGGTAAATCATTTATCAGGCCCCATTCATATCTGAGTATTTTGTATCTTGAATGTCTAAGAGCTTGTTCACACCATGTACAGTGTTTTCCAGCACGGTTAGCAGCTGGAACGCACTGTATCGCATAGTAATCTTCCCCCGTGTTCTGGGGTAGGAGGGGGCGTGGCAGTGCACTGAAGTCAATGGAACCTCGAGCACGCTCCGCCGCCCGCACCAGAACGCGGGCACAACAATGCCTGCATCCCGGTCCAGTGCAATCGGGAAACATTTTTCCAATCGCACTGGAGCGCAATGCAGGCACTGATGTGCCACGCGTTCCTGTGTGGGCAATGGTCATGACTGCAGTGCAATTGACTTCAATGCACTGCCACGCCCCCTCCTGTCCCAGAACGCAGGGAGCCGGCCAGGATACGATACAATGCGTTTCAGCAGCTGGCCGCTCTGAAATGCACTGTATGTGGTGTGAAGCCTTAAGCCCTACAACAACCTTTAATAGGAGGAATCCCATTGTTTTCACTGTACCCTGTTCACATATGAGTGTTCTGTTGCCTGTAGATCAAAAACATACATGAGCTTCTTTTGGAGCAGAGTCAAGCACTTTGACCCCATTACACATCAATGGGAACACCAAAACAAAAGCTTGAAAAACTGACATTTTTAAACTTTTTTTTGCCTAGTAACTAGCTTTGCATTAGCTATAAAAATAAACTAAAATAATCCTGTAATGATTGCAACAACGCCTGTAAAAACTCTATAGAACCCCCCGAAAAAACACCCAAAGACGCTCAGCTCAAGTGTGAATGGGGCCCAATCTTTAATGTTGCAGTGACTGGACAGAGTGATCAGCTGTGGGGACATCCAGTCCTGGAATGAGGACTGAGCTGATAGAGAGATACTGTGGTTTTTAATAAACTAGTTAGTATAAAGCATAAGCTTAATCTCATCTGTGTTGAAAAAGGTTTTTGTTTTTTTAATTCAAGATACAAAATAGTACTCATACATGACACCCACATCACATTACAGTCTACCCTATAAATCCCCTATGTCTGTCTGCAGCACTAGGCTACGTCTACACAGAACGTTAAGTTTCATTGCTAAGAGTAAATTTAACCACTTGGTAGTCACCTAATTTTCAGCACACTGGCAACAAGTGGTTAACGTTCAGTAGCATGGCAATTGAATTGTCCATGTAGACTTAGCCCTCGTTCACACCTGAACGTTTTGTAGCGCGTTCTACGCTCGACGAGCGCTCTACAAAACGCTCAAAAATATAAATCCCATTGTATTCAATGGTCTCGTTCCCACCTTGGCGTATTTCCGCCCGTCCCTAACGCGCTACAAAACGGCCCACGCCTGAAAAGGTACGTGTACTACTTGCCTCCCATATACGCACATACACATTGCCCCCCACCATATAGATATTGAAGCCCCCCACACATAGACATTTCCCCCCATACACACACATTGACCCCCCTCCCCCCACATATACCTACACTGCTCTCTATACATTGCCCCTACCCTTTTATACACATAAATAAAGACATTGCTCCCCATATACAGACATTGACCCCCATACACAGACATTGACCCCCCAGCCTAGTGCTCACAGGGTTAGGCGCACTTACATCCTCTCCTCTGCTGCAGCTGCTCACACTGATTGGGGATTAAGAGCTTCTGGAGCCTTGTCTGTGTCAGTTCCCGGAGCCGATCTGCCATCTGCCTCTTGTCGAGAGTCCTCCCTCCTGGCTCCAGCAGACCTTGGTCCCGGCTGTGCATAGCCGGATGGTCCCGGAGCTAATCTACCATCTGCCTCTTGTCCAGAGTCCTGGCTCCGGCTTTGTGTGTGGATCGCTGTGTGCAGAGCAGGCTCATCCTTGGCAAGGCCGGAGCGCCTGCCTCTGCAGCCTTACACAAGTGCTGGCCCTTGGTTTTGGTGTTGCGCTCGGGGTGATTAGGGTGTGCCCAGGCATTCCCGTGTGCACGCCTATGTGTGGCACTAAGATAGGGCTACACGGGTTATCAAATGTATTTTGCTACAGAGAGATGTATCCACCTGGTGACTGAAACCCTATATGCAGCACACTGAGGGCCCATTCACATCTTGGCATCCTAGTGTGTTATTGTGAATTGCATTAAGGCAGCCCACTCATCTGTGCCAGAATAGACACAAAACTGGACATTCTTTGCAACACATGGCATGGTACTGCAGTACCATGTGTTGAGGTGTGCTGCAACATTTGTGCTTAGAAGGTGCGTTGAGTAAATGTACTAGGGAGCCAGTACCAATGAATGGCTCCACAATACATTAACACACCTAAAAGGCTTTAATGTGTGTTGTGGTAATTGCTACATTACCGCACACATTCCCACAGTGCCTTGAGAGCCCATTGTGTTGTGGTACAGCATGTGTTAAGGTGCACTTAACTGCAACACACGTTATTATGCTGCAGTACTATTTATTCTGAATGGCACTCCAATGCACTCTTCCTAATGCACCTGCTGGACAAATCATATAATGTTATGTTACAGATTATTTCATGCTTTCAGGTGAGGCTACATCTGTCATGCCTTTGTAGCAGTCATACATTCACCAAATCTGATGTTGCTGCTTGAGAGAATGATCAAAGGTTCTAGGATCCTAAAAACATTTGATACTTTTTCTCATATTGCCAAAAGCCATAGTATGATTTTCTGCTTTGTTTAAAAATGGAGCACATGCAAAATAAAGAATAGTGACCTTTGCTGTAAAAAGGAACCTTGTGTGGCACTGATATATTGATCTCTTTAGCGATGACTGTGTATCTTCTCCTCTCTTTTTGATTCTGTCTGATGCCAAGACAGGAAAACAGGCAAAACTCCCGCATGGACACGGACTGCAATAAGGTTTCCACAGACTTATTAGAACTTTAAATCTTATTGCTTCCTTTGTCTCTGTTAGGAAGATTTCCCCTTATTTTTCATTCCTTCTGACACCCATTAAATATACAGGAAGTTGGATGAATTTCAAGTAAACGTGCCATGAGGCGAAATCTCCCAAATGGACCACAGATAGAAATACAAAGTTGACAAAGTCGCCTTTATAAAACAAGAAAAAAAGTTTTGGTTGGAGCAGGGCTTTAATATTTATTCAGTTTTGGATGAGCTTATCCCCAATTAAAGCTTGACTCTAGCCAGACTCTGGTTATTCTTTTCAGTAAGCTTGGTGATGTACACACCACTGTCACAACACATACCAGGAGGAGAGAATCACTTTCTTTGTGGTGATACCACCAGCCCCAACCTGCTGATTGGATGATAAAGGAGCAGCAGCAGCAGAACCCCTTTCACACAGGTGGCATCCGTTCCAATTAGCAGAGGATCCATACACAGATTCCCTGCTAATCTGAATAGTATGGAATGGATGTCGCTTTTGTGACATCCGTCTCCATTCAGTTAAAAAAAGAAATGAACTAACCAGACCTGTTAAGTCTATGGGCAGTTGAATGTAAGCAGCCATGTGTCTGTTTACATCCAATTACCTCCAAGCCATTAGGTTCCCAAAATGGAGCTCTGTTCCTTTTTTTCAGACCTAGATAAACTCGGAGGTAATTGGATTTCAATTTTCTCAGGTCCCTTTACATCCACTGGCCCATAGACTAACATTTAGCTTCCGATCAGGTCCACCCGAAAAACTGACAGGTGGATCTGACTGGAACTCCGTGTGAAAGTCATCTCTGTGCTCTCCCCTCTCTTAGAATCCTGAATGTGATAATGGTATTGTGAAATACAAATTACCACCAGAAACATTCAGTCATGCTGTGAAATGACATGTTTATCATTACCGTGTAAGTGCTAGACCTGGGAAAAGGCCACAGACCTATTTAATTGTACATGAAATATTAAAAAGTTCAACATATTTTATATGAAGCTATGACATATATGCTAAACGTGTTCTAAGATGGGAGGTCACAGGTCACATCACTGCGAAGGTTATCCCGGATTGAGGCACTGACATCTGTGCTAATCTCACAAACATTACAGAGGTAGAGGAGTTTCTGTGCCTGAGACACGAGGAAGGAGGGAGGTTTGACCCTGTCCCATTGTTTCTTCGATGGAGATTTCAAACACTCATAACATTTATTCAGTAAGCTGAGGAACCTGATCCTGAATGCATAGAGAATGAGCTCATCTTCCGATGCAGAAAGTGGTATTTTTTTGCTTTGCTTATCATCTCCAATTTCTTCCACCTTTCAGAGAAAGAAAGTAGAGTGAGTGAGGAACAGATAAGTAGAATAAGGAAGCTGTATTAAAGTTCTATATATGTTTTGACATTTATCACATATAGACCATCAGGTGATAGTGAAGAGAAACCTAAGGAGAATATGAATGTACTATTTGTAAAACATAGGCATATTTACATATAAAGGGACTACCCAGCAGCACCCTCAGTGGTTTCATCTGACAATTGGGTGCATCTGTGTGTTTTTTTACTTGTACAGAAGATCACAAGTATTTTGGTTTCAAGGCATCAAAGAACACGATCATAGTATTTGGAAACATTGTTATAAGATACAGTAACTCTTTTTTTTGGAGTGTTTTACATTGTGGATTCGCTTTGCTACCACTTACATAACAATATTGTGTTATATAAATACTTATTTTTGATGTTGAACATTTTTACTGTTATATATTGTCATAGTATTAGAAGTTATTCATCTTGTAGAGCATGTCTGCAGTCTCTGACCATCTCTTATAGCATGTCTGTATTCTCCGATGATTTCTTGTAGCATGTCCATAATCTTTGACCATCTTTGGTTGCATGTCTGCAGTCTCCGATAGCTTTCTACAGCATTACATTGCCTGAATATTATGTCCTGCCCTTTGCTGATGTCAGAGGCTGCACTTGAAGCCCCCTATATGAAGTATGTTGACCACCGCTTCCTATGTACTCTTATGTGCACTAGGTAAATGGCAGCACATGACTGACTAGTCAATCATTAACAGTGTCTGAAAGAAGAGCTGCCTGTGTTGCTCATAACAGTCATTTAGTCCTTTCATGTTTATGTGGATACTAAAAACTAAAATCACTTAGATACTGGCTGGTCACTAGGATAACACTGACAGTTCATAATACAAGTGCTTTATGAGTCCCACTACTATAACAATTAGTATCATATAGTATCATATTACCTGCGACTTTGATAACTCTTTTCTTCCAACACTTAATTTGGCTTGCTTTCCCGTAGCCAGAAAAGATACATAGATCTTGTCCTGTGCAATTATTCGGACCCCCACTTGAAGATTCAAAGATATGAAGATTGGCTTGAACTGAACACAGGGCTCTTCAGAATCACTGCTTTTCCAGCGCCATCTCCTGACTCTTCCGCCTGTGCTGTCCAAGTACTGTCCTCCCACTGGATTTATATTCAGCCTACATATTTCAAGACACAAATTACACAGTGACACACTCTTCCTCCCTGATATCAAAGATGCTCACAGTCTTATAGAATGATGGTAGTAGGACAGAGGATGGGGATAGTTATAGTTATGTGGGTATGGAGACTGACAGTAGTACTGCTGTATAGCCTGTAATAGTAATCCTAGTGGGCAGCTCCACTGCAAGGGTTGATCTGAAAAAATCCTGGAGTTCTTCTTTAACAATAGGCACCTACTGGTAGGAGTGACATTCAGAGTGATGATGTCTCTCCATTGTCAAATCAGCAGGCTAGAGCAAGTCAGTGACCTAACTGATCTTTTTAACTGCAGTGAAGAAAATATAAGTTGGAAGACAGTAATAATGTCTGGCAGTGGTGCCTGGATCACAGAATGACAAATCCTTTAGATTCACATATACTGTATGTACTTCAGCTGTTTGCCTTGAGCTTAGCACATTGCAGTGTTTATGCATACACTACAATGGTGTGTTTGTCAGGCTGCGTGCAAATATTGTCTAATACTGAGCTGATTGTGCGCATGACTATACGCACTGCACTGAAAAACAAAAACATTGATTTTTAAAGATGAAGGATTCACTCTGCCAGATGAAAATTGCTGCTACGTACATACACTACATAATGATGTCTATCTCCATGGAGTTTATCCACATTTGTGCTGCATGTCATGATCCCTGTGCCAGACTGACATTCCACATATGTAAATTTTTCTATCATTTGTTTTATCGTTCCTGAACACATTTAACGGTTGAATCATATTTTCTCCATACTATCAGGATACACTATAGGGGCCTTCACCAGCAAACACAAATATAATGTGATGGATTATGTTTTGCATTTATATGGTATGTAGGGCTTATTGAAAAAACATTTTTTGTAGGTATTTCAAATCTTGTACTCATGTCACAAGTTTAAAAAAAATACTTTTTTTGAAGACAAATATGAAATATTGCATATGAATGTTTAATATAACCTGTTTACAGAGCTGAGTAGCTGAAGCCCAGATTATACACACAGCTGACTAAGTTAGAGGAGTGATTCTGTAGTTCAATATGCAGCTCTCTTTATTTAGTACATTGTTTCAGTTAAAGATAGGCTAAAAGGACACAGCTACTGCAAGGGGTGTCCCTACACATTTCGCCACCTGAGGCCATAGGGGTGGGGACGGTGGTGGATGCTGGGGTGCATGCACTGCTACAGGGGGGTGCATGGTACCTCTAGCTCCGCCTCTGTCCAGGGTCCTGCCCAGCTCACTGACCTCACTGGGTGAGACACCAGCCGGAGCATCCCGTTCAGCTCCTAGCAGCCAGTGACGTCAGTGAGCAGGGCAGTAAATAAAAGTAATTCACCGGCACACACTTGAAGGGTTTTTAAAGTATTGATATGTTTATTCAATACCCAATGTCACATACTGTCATATTAACACCGTATGACAGTATGTGACATTGGGTATTGAATAAACATATCAATACTTGCAACAGTTTTCTATTGGCCGGCGGTTCTGCTGCCGTAAAAAAAAAAAAAAAGCCTAGCTTACCAGGCGCCCCGGGAGTCTCCCGCTCCCGGCCGCCCAGGAGAGAAACAACGCTTTTTCTTTTTTCTTATTCTGACACGGAGCCGTGTCAGAATAGAAAAAAATATATATATTTTGGCCATAGGAATGCATTGCTAGATTCCTATTGGCTATTTCAGGGCGTATGCATGCGTTCCAGAGCAGGTAAAATAGGGCTTGCTGCAGTTTTTTTACATGCTCTGGAACTGAACGCTGCGGTGTGAACTAGAGCCCAAAATACCATTGGAATACATTGGACGCAGCTTTGATCCGGTCTGTAACTGCTCTGCACCTGGAACACGCTTGGTGTGAACAAGGCCTAAATGGAGAGGTGGATTTAATAAAAGGTGGTATACCTTGTGCAAAACATAGGACATCATATTTATTTGTGGCTGAAAAGATTATATACAAAGTACCTGTAACTATGATATAATTAAACATAACCTACATCTTGTTCTGTTGGAGATCAATGTGCATACACATCTAGCAAGCTTCTAGGTTGCCAATCCCAGCAGCTCACTGGAAAGGATTTAAGGCTTCCGTAATCTTTGGATAGAGCAGGATTTCTGTTTCCACTCATCCAATACCTTTAAATAAATGACTGCAGTTAAACAGGATGAAAATAGTACAGGGTCTGCATAAGCTTGCAGATCAGTGTTTATTATTTTCCCTGCTGCGTGGGATTAATTTAATAACTGGCTCATTTACTGTCAAGGAGCACGGGACTTTTAAGCATACTGTCATAAAAAAATTAATGAAGCATGCAATAAAAAATAAATGGTGACTCAAGTGATCTAATTTTTGCTAAAATGTATCGCCTATTTTCAGTATATGTTCTGAATAGAAACAACGATATTATTTCTTATGCTTCGCGTTTCACTTCGGCTCAGTTGAGCGAAGCATATGCCTTTGGCTCGGCCAGCTTCAGGAGCTGTACGGGCTATTGTGAATAGCCCGTACAGCAGCCCTTCGGTTCCACTGAACCGAAGGGCTCTGGCGGCCGAAGTTAGCCGAAGGATCAGCCGGAGCTATGGCTGATCCTTCGGCTAGCTTTGTGAATAACCCCCTTAGTTTTCTATGCATGCATATAGCCACACCAGTTAATGAATACAGTTCTGTGAGAAAAGTTATGCGTAAATTGCAGTGATCTGTAACTGACAATCAGGTCACTGCACTCTCCTCATCATTTCTGCTTGCATCACCCTTCTTAATAAGCTCATATGTGTATGCTTGAAGTAACACCTTTTCTAATTAAAAAGTTCTTGGCATTCAGGATGATTAGAATTAGCAGGATTAATAAGAAATGTGCAGTCACACTAAAAAAAAAAAAATTCTAATGATCTCCATAGCAATCTCATTATTGTCAAAGCCCTAAAGGGATAGAAAAAGTCAAACATTTAGAAAACATATCCAAATAGCTAAGGGGTTTCTTTGAAAGGCACTTCTCACACATATACTTGTATAAAATATTATACATTTTATTAATAACTTAATTCATATTCAAAACAATGAACAAGTCCCAATTCTCCCCAGTCTTCCTTGATTGTGTTCATTTCAATACATGGTTACATATAATTATTCAACCACAATTAGAAACAGAAAAAATATCATCAACTATTTCACATATTATGCAGTCTTCAAAATGCGTTTCGCAGAGCGCTTTCTCAGGGGATACAAGGTAAGTAGATCTGGTTTTGTGGAATATGTATGACTAGTGGGAGCATCTGGTGCAGAGGGGGGGAAAAAGTCTCAAAGGACCCCCCCTAATATACATGCCTGGCAGGGCCACCGGGAGAGGGGAACAACCATCGAAGGAACACATAAATGCAATTCACTATTTGAACACGTATCTTTTCATTAGGGTTACAAAAATCCTCAGCTGTGCAGCGTCTATATATCCAATTTTACCCAGAGATGTATACCATGGGATTTGAGGTCACCTGTGCTGTATATTCAATGAATGCCCAGCTGGGTAAACCACCCTTAGTACACAGCTGTCCATAAGCGGAGGTATGTTCATGCGTCCTTCAAATCCCTCCCGTTGATCTGCAGTGAATTGAATTTATGTGTTCCTTCGATGGTTGTTCCCCTGTCCCTGTGGCCCTGCCAGGCATGTAGGATATCAGGGGGGTCCTTTGGTACTTTTTCCCCCCCTCCTCGGCACCAGATGCTCCCAGTAGTCATACACATTCCACAAAACCAGATCCCCTTACCTTGTATCCCCTTAGGAACCACTCTGTGAAACGCGTTGAGAAGACTGCATAATATATGAAATAGTTGATATTTATGTTTCTAATTATGGTTGAATAATTATAAGTACACATGTATTGAAATGAACACAATCAATGAAGACAAGTATATGTGTGAGAAGTACCTTTCAAAGAAACACCATAGCTATTTGTATATGTTCTCTATGTGTATAATAGGGGGCTTGGCAAATAAGTTTAACCATCTAGTACCTACCTGGGTGAATTATATTTGTGATGTAAAGTCAAACATTGTTTAAGCTATTTTATGTGCTAGTTCTATCACTTACAATGGATGCTGCTCCTTGATGTTTACAAGTGTTAGCTTCCTGCAGAATCAGCTGGTCTCCACTCCCCTTCTTTCTGCTCTCCACAACTCCCTTCTCCAAGGTAGTAGAAGTATAGTTACTGGACACTGCTCTGTCCCTTTGATCTTCCTCCAGTACAAGATCACTCCTCTGTGATCTTGTACTGGACAGGATGTTCAGGGAAGCTGTGCTGAGAGAGTTGGAGCCAGTTTTTTGGAAACATGATGACTATAAATGCTGGGGCAAAAATGTAAAGACATTCTTTTCTTGGAGAGGACACATCAAGGAGATGTGTATTTGTATATATACAGGTGAAACTCGAATAATTAGAATATCGTGCAAAGTTCATTTATTTCAACGTCCAGTCTGTAAACACTTTAACACTGAGCCCCTCTTGAACATTTAACGAATTCTGCTGTTTTGCTGATACTCGCTCCATGGCTCGCGCCAACAATCATCCCACGTTCAAAGGCTGTTAAATCGCGTTGTTTACCCATATCTTCAGAAAAAAATCACTTCTACTGTCGTGGTAAACAACCTGCTTCCCTGTTTATAATGGTCTGGCCCTCTAGCAACTTCAGCACGAAATTATAGCTAATTTGCCTACAAACGTCAGGTGGTCATAATAACCTGGCAACTCAGTGTATATTGGAAACCAGCTACAGCTATTTAATTATGCAAACATGCTATTCGAGCAAAGCAGCAAGGTTATCATGGTAAGTGGCAAGTGTTTACCATTTGCTAATAATGATTTCCAATAGGTCAGAAAACAAAACAAAAAACAAAGCAGGGATGCTTTTCCCTTTTCAGTGCACTGTGCCAAAGCACAATCTGAATAACAGCTAAAAAGTGATGTAAAAAGCCTGTGTGCT